ACGTGTGGCAGGTGATGTAGTCCTCTACTGCCTTGAGCTTGATTGTGACAATTTGAGAGATAGTAGTAATATGGGATATTGAGAGCCCGTTTGGTAGCACAAAAATCGGCTGTTTTGGCTGATTCTGCTGAAATTTATGAAGTTCTGACTGGAGTGGCTGCATTGGCTGATTCTGCTGATTTAAGAAAAAAAAATTATAATATATTTTATTAATAAAATAAAGAAAAAATTATATGTAAAAATAGCTAAAATGGTCATCTACAGTAACTTCAGCCAATACAGCCGGAAAAGTAACTTCAACCTTACCTTTTCTGCTTATTACACAATTCAGTGCGCGAAAGCAAAAGTCACGTGCTTGGTGGAAAAGTTGACTGATAAGCCTGATAAGCCGAAAAACAGTGTTGTCAAATGGCCTCTGAATGAGCAAGGGTTTCCGTTGGGGATCCAAGTACCATTTGGTCAGGAGGCCATGCTACGCCTGATAATCCAGAGAAGGTTGAGCCATAAAACGGAGAAGCATTCATCGGCGGAGGGGGAAGATGCGTCGGAGACTGCATGCTGGTCGGCTGCCATGGAAATTGAGGCGGTGGCGACTAAAACAAGGAGTATGGCTCGGTTGTGGAGTAGAGGCGGTGTCGGGAAGCTCGAGAACAAAGTCAACAAACGAGGCTGCTGCACTAGAGAATAAGTGGCACCTAAAATTGTTGGGGAAGAGGTGGAGTGATGCGCCGTTGTGGATACTGGCGCCGTCATAGTAGCGGCTGCTTCGGATGAGCTCACGGCGGCATAAGTACTCATGGTTGCGACTGGAACATGATGAAGGAGAGAGAGCTGGAAAAAATTAGGTCTGCGCTCTTGATACCATGTGGAATAAGAAAAAATTACCCAAATATTACTACTTTAAATCTCTCTAACAAAAATATGACTACTAATTGAAAGAACAAAGTGATTTTCCTACAACTACTCCTACATTACCGTACGTTGTTGGTAGTTACTCACCCTTTTGTAAACCCAAACTATATTGATTATATTTAGGTGAAAAACTCGTGGAATAATGAGAAAAGAGTTTTCTAATAGGAGCCCTGACACGTGTGTTTACAATAAAATAATTGTTGCCAAAACACACAACAATTCCTAAATAAGATGAACTAATATTATCTTGTTAGTTTTCAAAAGGGAAAAGGGTCGATTTGAACACTATGATTATATGTGAATCTCATAGTAGACATTAAGGTTTCAAATGAATCAAATTGAACATTATGGTTACATTTATATTTTATATTGAACATTAATGTTTCAAATGGATCAAATGTAACGTTTTTCTAATCATTTTTTACATCCACCAAAGATTTTTCACATCAAAAACCTATAAGTATTCCTTTTCCCCCTTTGTTTTATGTACCTAGAAAAAAAATTAACTTAATTGGTGTATTTAGATTTAGAATATATAATTAGATGTCCCATTTAACAACATATATTATAATGTAATTGATTTCTTTAGTATTGTTAAGTCAATTTAACTAATCAATATTTGACCATTATCCCGTTTTCAAAAGTAACTATAGTGTCTGGTTTGGCCAATATGAGATTCACGTGTCTGGTTTGGTTTATCCAATTTGACCATTATCCCGTTTTCAAAAATACAATTAAGTCATAAAATTGAAAACACCTAAATGTATTATGTATAGTACTAAATATTCATCCCAATACCAATTACACCATTTTAGCAGTGACTTATAGCCAACATTATCTTGGCTATAAGTGGCACCCACGGCGACCCATTGCCAGTGACTGCGGCTCAGTGACCTTTTGCCGCCACGGTACCTCAACAATCAACTGACAATGACCCCCGACCTAGTGGCCTAGTCATCTGGTGTAGTGATAGTATCGCACTAGTGACCGACGCCTAGCGATCCAGTGACTCAAAGCCTCTAGTGGTTTGTGCCCTCATGATCCCATCATTGAAGAATACCCTCACCCCCTAGTGACTCGGTGTCCTCACTAGCCAACTATTGCACAACCACCCCCATCACCTCTAGTGATTTGGTGTTCTAGTGAGAGTGAGCTTGGTGCCCAAGTGACCTTTCGCCACAAGTGACCTGATAGTATAGAATTGTTATGGTTTATGAGTGTAATTTTAACTAGTTTTATTTGTTGTTGTTTGGGAAATTACACACTTTTGGTGTAATACTTTATTTTTCCTATTTTGTTTGTAATTTGTTTAGATTAGGATTATTCTGAGCTTTAACTAAGTAAAGATCATCAAAAGGATTTTTGGAAAGCTCAAGAAAAGTGCAAGGGAACAAGATCAAGTGAAAATTTGGAAAAATAGTCATTTACCCGGTCGGGTAAAACATTTATCCGATCGGGTATTGACTTGATCTGAAAATAAAATCTGATTTGGGGGCAACTGAACGTGCAGGTGAAGATTTGGCAAAGATATGCCTTTTACGCGGTCGGGTTTCTCAAAAACCCGGTCGGGTAAATGGCCCTGGCAGCTCTAAACACCTATAAATACACCTCATTTCCTTCCCATTTATTCAACCAATTCATATACTCTCTTAAGCTCAGTTTAGAATAATATTTCTTTTATATTTTTATAGCATGTTTAGTCTCCAAATGAGGAGCTAAACTTCCATTTTTTGGTATTGCTCTTGAAGCTTGTTGATTATTAAAGTTGTGAGTTATTTTCTTAACTTCTTTCCTTGAATATTAATTCTTCTTTTAAATACTATTTCTATATCAATGTTGGGGAGTGTTACTAAGATGACAATTAGTTAACATCTTGACATTGGTCTTAGTAATAGCTATTTCTTCCTCTATGTTAATATTGGGGAGTGTTACTAAGATGACAATTAGTTAACATCTTGATATTAACTATAGTAGGATTCATCTTCTTTAATATTCTTCCTTGAGTATTAATTAATTCCTATTCATATTTCATATTAATATTTTGAACATTACTTAAAGGATCAACTAGTTTTGTTTCATATATTACTTATTACTAGAAATGATCAACGAACCGATGGTTAATCGTTGATAGTTTCACAAGTAAGTAACTTCGGTTTATTAATGCACGGTCGTGGTTAATAAACTTAAAAGGGATTAATTTTGTTGGTTAAACCGAAACCGTTGTGTTGAGGTTATCAATCTCAATTGATTTCATCAAGGAGTTAAGATATTAAATGCTACTATCAAGTCGGTATATGGCGTTGTTCTATACTTGACTAATAGTAAGGGTTATTAATGAACGGTCGTTGTTAATAACTACCCTCGATGAATTGGATATACTCCTCGATTGAGTATTCGAGAAGAGATAAGTTATAGATATAACAATGATCGACTAAAATATATCAACAAGTGGAAAGTAGCAATGCCAAGTCCCTTTTATCTTTAAATTAAATCTCATATAAGTCGTTCGTCTTCGTGTTTAATTTTAATTAAATCATTCAATCCCAAAACCCCCCTTTTATTTACTAGTTTTATAAAAAGAGAATTATTCCTTTCCCTGAGGATACGAACTCTACTTCACTATACTACGTATTAGTGCTAGTATTGAATTTATTTTGACGCACCGTGACAAAGTGCACGTCATGACCTCAGACACTTCCAATAACATATAGCTCAACAATCCTAAATACAAAATACAGTTTCATAGTGATGAATTATTAAACTCTGAAAGTATGAGACAAGTATGAAATTATATGATGAAACAATTAGTATCACTTGATCTTTGTGAGTTTTATATTTATTGATGCATAAATGCATTCAAGACACTTATTTTCTAATTAATTATTAATTCATTACCTCTAACTTTTATTTTTAATAAAGAGGATTGGTTTTTATATTAAAATCGAGAAAAAAGACAAGATAACATTCACACAATCATGATACATCCGATTGTGAGTCATAGGAATAGACATAGAACCATTCACCTCATACAAAGCAACATGATTCGCTAGACACGAAACAGACAATTTAAAGCCTACATTAATGAATGTCAATTCAAGGATGGTCATGTTATTTTGAAGTATATGATATGTAATAGATCAGGTATAAGAATAATGTCGAACTGTTGTCATTGATACTGGTTTTTCTACATCTGAAGTTAGTAAGAAAAACATGAAACATGTGTCAAATAGGATTGAGTGTAAAGCTCTTTTAACTCTGAAATACTTGTATGCTAGTATTAATGGCTACCCGATCTTTGCATTTGAGGAGTGTCACAACCATTTTATGTGTTCTGAAATGGCAAAACAATTCCTAAAGATGAATAGGAATTTAGAACTCGGTCATCAATAGTTTGTTTCAAATTGTTTTAGAACAAATACTGGTACAATGAAACCATATAGGTTGTATAAGGAGACCATAGGAGGGTGTTCTAACATTGGTGCTACCAACGTCGATTTTAAGAGCTTTAAGAGTGATCCGGTGGCCTATATAGTTGGTGGCCCCAACAAAGGGTGAACTTGGTTCTGGATCTGGTAGGTAAATCACCCCAAAGGCTTGTATTTTAGAGGCATCCATGCCGCTATCACCCAACTAGCTAGAGAGCGCTTCATTCAGGCGTGGACTCGGTCCGGGCCGGGTCCGGGTCGGGCCTAGGCCCGGACGGGCCGGCGGTTCATAAATGGTGGACCCGGGACCGGCCCGGGTAGCCACCGGGTCCGGGCCGGGCCTCCGTTTTTTTTTTTCTTTCCTAACCCCCCCTCACCCCCAAACCCCTCCTAACCATCAACCCCAACCCGGGTGGAACCTCAAAAAATGGAAGAAAAAAAAATCAATTTGGCCCGGACCCCGGGCCCGACCCGGGCCGGTTCGCCAATTGTAAGACCTGAGCCCGACCCCCCGGGCCTAGGCCCGACCCGGACCCGAGAACCGGGCTGGTCCCGCACAGTAGCGGGCCGGGCCGGGCCGGTCCACGGGCCGGGCCGGTCCACGGGCCGGGTGGCCCGACCCGAGTCCACCACTAGCTTCATTGCAGACAAGAATGGAGTGTTTGCGAAGTCATTAACTCATTATTGTCTTAATTGCAACGTTCTATTGCTAGAAAGACTGTTACATTATCATCCTTGAGTCTTTATTAACAAACCTTGCTAAGGTTAACAACCTCCTCAAGCAACCGGTTGACGGATTCCTTAATTTCTTCAGGAACATGCAATTCTTGAGGCACTGATTCCAAGGCATAGAGAATGATAATCCTCATTACATGGTGAAGGTGAATCACTTTGGCATTACCACTGTTCCACATATTCTGATTCTCAAACTTGCATGAATCTCTTAAACCACATTTTCCGCACACCTGCACATTCCAGCACACTAAATTAAAAATACAATTGAACAAGGAAGGTGAAGACACTTTGGCTTTTTGGTTTGGAACACGGAAGAATGGTAGGGAAGGAATGAAAAAATCAAGAAAAAGAATTTTTATTATAATTTTTATTTTGTGTTCACTTGTGAAATATGAAGGAAATTTAATTTGATTTTTAAAAATAAAGATTTTTCAATCTAAATTTAATAGAATATATATATATATATATATATATACACAAATGTTCCTGTCAGATATACCTTGCAAAAACATTTGACGACCTTTCCGATTGAATTTTTTTCTGAAATTTGGTATGGATGAACTAGACTTGATGAGGAACATACACAAAAAATTTGAGCAAAAAATACCACCGGGAAGGCCCCCAAAAGGAGGAGGCCGGACGGCGGCTCCGGTCAGGTATACCTGACCGGAAGATTACTCTATATATATATATATATATATATATATATATATATATGTATAGAGAGAGAGAGGGAGTTTGAGCAAAAATCTAAAATTGAATTGTAGACTTTGAACCACTTTTATTCTTATCCTCCCAAACTTTCACTCCTTCCAATCTTTTATCATGTTTCTGCTCTATTTTATTGCATGAACATTTTCTAATTCCAAGCGGACCCTTGAGATGATATTCTCTTCACTGTATTCTATTTGCTTATTAGTTCAAATAAGTTATACTTATTTGAAATTAATGAGACCTGATCAAACTGGAAACATTCAGACCCGACCACATCAGAAAAGAGATGGACTAGGCCAGAAAATTTCAGGGCCCGTTTGGTGACACAGATTTTCGACTTATCAAGCTTATCAACCAACTTTTTCACCAAACACGTATTACCTTCATCCCATTTTATGTGTCCTACTCTGGTTTGGCACAATTATTAAATAAATTGTTGAAAAGATAAAAATTGTGGTTGAGATTTGAGTACAATAATGTGAAATGTTGTAGACCACATATTTCTTTTCAAAAAAGGAAATGTGACACTTATTTTGGGACAATCCATTAAGGAAAGTGGGACAGGTAGAATGGGACGAAGTGAGTAATTTTTTATTTCGCGCGTAGAATTGTGTAATACTAAGAAAAAGTAAGATTTGAATTGCTTTTCCGGTTGTATTGGCTGAAGTTAATGTAAAAAACCATATTAGCTATTTTTCATATAATTTTTTCTTTATCTTATTAATATAAAATTTTAAATATTTTTTTGCACAACTCAACAGAATTAGCCAATTCAATCACTTAAGCCAAAACTTCATAAATTTCAACACAATCAGCCGATTCAGCCAATTTCAATGTTACCGCTCTCAAATTCAACCATGTTATATAAGACGAGAAATATATACAAGATAAAAAAAACTTACAAACCTGATCTTAAATAATCAAAGCATATCATATTTTTTTAGCTGAAAGCCTGAAACGAAGAGGTCCTAAATCATATTTATAACAAAGAGGATCAAATAAATAAGAGTTTGTACTTGATTTGGTCTTTCGACTGCACATTACTACTCAATTAGGCTTTAGACTCAATTTAATGCATATTAATCTCTAATTTAGATGAGTACTTTTTGTAAATTGGCTATTAAATTGGATTCAATTTCATATAGTTGAGGGTCAAAATGACTACGAAACTATGACTACATTTAGTTAACGGATAAAATACTCTTCTTATTGTGAACATAATACGGACTACGGAGTATATAGTCAAGAAAAGTTGAATCAAGTAAAAAGTTCAGAAGCGAATACAGTAACAATGTATAGTTGAGGAACTACATCGAGCATTAACTCAAAATAAAAAAAAAAACAATTGATCTGAAAGAAAGACACCAATGCCAGTTTGTGCAAGGCTTTCAGGATATGTATTGCATTTAATTTTCATTGAATATTTATTTGCATGCAGTTCTTCCCTAAAAAATTGCACTTTGATGAAACATGGCCTTTTTGTATGGAATGGAGGGAGTAGAAGAGATCTTAATCGAAGAAAAGAAAACAATTTTAAAGCAAGTAGACTCACTGTGTCTTCTTGTATCTTGAAGAACCTACGCAACACTTTAGCTGAATACACATTCTTCTTCACAACAGAAGGGCAACCAAAGAGAGCTACCTTTTTCAAGTCACTAGCAGACAACCATCTGAGCAAGCATTAGGAGTTACCAAATGTGAAACCATCCAGCAATGCAACATATATAAACTGCTGAGTAATAAAGAGTACGTTTACATGATAATGGAAGTGAAATAAGCATATATGACATGGAGTAATGATTCATTGATTATTGATATACTTGAGACTGAAACCTAAAGGATCCTTTTGGTTTACAAAAATGTTCGATGACGTGTGAATGTTGGATTGCTGAAATCTGTTTAACATGGTTTTAGTTGAAACTGCGTGGATGTATAGAATTTATTGAGATGTAATATATTAACTTGTTCGGTTAGAGGCTATCATATACAACATGGCGGGTATTTTACTTTAATGCCCCATCCATTTACTACTACTACTACTAATAATAATAATAATAATAATAATAATAATAATATAATTGCTGCTTTTTATTAATTAATATGAGTAATGTTTTTATTTAATATAAACAAAAAACTAAACAAATAAAGATATAACTATTGTACAGTCGATAATCTTGTATAAACTAAGGATTTGAGTTGTATTATATATCCCATGCTGGGGGTAAGATTCCGAAAGTATCTAAAATAAAGTGTCACACACATGGTGCTGGTTTCTCACGCCAAGTCAACCAAACACACCCTAACCGTAAGAAGGATCAATTATGTGGCCCTGATGCTGGGTGAAATACAAGTAAACCCATTTTTCTAAATGTATTCAATGCCAAAAATAGAACATAAAAACTAGATATTAGACCTGCAGCAAGGTACCTTGCTAATGTTCAAGCCATGTCCAACCAATCCTTGTTCGGAATTTTTGTCTAAGATTCATTTATCATTCGATTTCTGAGAGAAACTCGATTCTTGTAATTCATACATGAATTTTGTTTTACTTGCAATAAAGTTCTTCCTTGATGCAAAAAAAAAAAAAAAAGAACATAAAAACTAGAAAGGGGAAATATAAAGGGAAAGACAAAGGAGAGTATTGCATTTCTTGGTTAGTCCCCCCATTAAAAAGTTCATGTTCGGTATTCAAATACTTTATGCTTACTTTCATGGTACAAATCCATAAAATCACAGTAAAATCCCACTTATGGTTTAACTCTTCCAATACACCACCCATCATTGTAAGAACTAAAGTTCCTTCTAGGTTTATTTACCGTCATTGGACCCAACTAATCCTTACTAGAAACTAAGATCCATTCCTGTCTTCTTAACAAACGGATAACAATTTTTACCACATTAACCCCCACCATTCAACACTAACAAGATGTATGGATGCAAATACTGAGGCAATTCTATAAGAAACGCATCCAGCAAATATACCACTCAGCATACACTGCTCATTAAGTAATGTAATGCAAGAAGATTCAGTTCTCACTTGACAACTTCCTGTTTATCAGTTGCAAACTCCCTAACCGCGTGCTTGATGTAGTGCAAAGCATAGCTATCATCAAAGCGAGTAATATCAAACCTATTCTTACGCAAAAAGTTTGCATCTTTGAAGTACCCCTCCTCATACAGGTGAGTGACAAGCATAACCATTTCAGATGATAGCCTCTTCCCAACCATAAGATCCTTTTCCATTGGAGCCTTTGAACTGTTAAATGAATTGTTTGTAAATAATTTCTGTAAACTACCTGCGATAGATTGGTTTTCTGTAGCTTCATCATCCTTCTTCGACAATGCCTGTATTTTCCTTTCTCGTCTCTCAATCTTTTCGTCTATTTGCTTTTTACTGTTCTCTTGCAGAACTCTGACTTCTTCTTCCAGATTTCTCAATTTACACCTCACCTGACCTGTTTCCAATCCATGTCCATCATGTGGAAGAGCTTCCAGAATCCCAACCGCTTCTTTGAAGAAAAAATCTAGGGGTTTCTTATTCCGTTTGTTCGGCCTAACATCAATGTTGTCTGAATCCGTATCAGTTTTGGTGCAGAAAGGATACGAAAAGGGAACAGATCTCTGGTGAATTACAAGGAGGCGTGAGAATCGGCCAATAGTTGAAAAACAAGAATGTGATTGGGTAATAGGGTTTTGGAGTGCGTGAACCGCGGGGAACAAACTCTGAAAACAAAAGATTCTTAAAAACACCATTTTCTTGGGTTGAAGAGATGTTCGAGATTTCCCAGTAAGTTGAACGAGTGGTCATACGGTAATCGTGACATCTCATGAGTTCCTTCAAGCCATGGAAGATCGCAAGCAAGAAAAGTTTTAGGTGTTTCAGCAGTCTTCAATCTTCATCAATGGGTTTTGGGAATTTTTATAAGAATACCCTCTTTTTTAAATAAAAACTTGTGAAATTACAAAATAACATTTACTAAAACATACGGTTTGAATACTCCTTTGAACTCTTCGTCTAAAGATACGAACGCGGCCCCCACATCCGCACAACTCTCTTTACTCTGTCTTCTTCCTAGCAAGTAGAATAAGGTCAAACTGGTTCAAACTCTCTCCATTGCACTCCTCTTCGAACCCTACTCCTAACGGCACTCCTCCTTCCATCTTTCATCATTCTAAAATGCTCCTCCTTCAACGGCAAACGTGACACTTCAGGTATTATGAAGGTCAAAACCCCTACAATTCTAATGATTGAAGAAGATAAGCCTAAGCATACATGAGCGTAGGTTGGTAAAATTAGGAGAAAACAGCTCTGCTAAAAATCTTCTGAAGAAGTCGGGCTCAAAGCAGAGTAAATAAATTCAACAAGATAAGGTTGTTGTAGAAGATCCTCAAAAGTTGAATCTTTTTTCTCTAAACAAAGAAATTAAGGTAATTACCCATTCATCCAACCTAATTACATGTTTTTTGTTCTTACTTTGAATTTGTTTGATCGTGTTTGAACGTGTTTGATTGTGTTTTTTACTATATTCTAATGTGAATTTAATTGTGTTTGACCTTGTTCTACCCTATTTTTATTTTACCTTGTTCTACCGTGTTTGAACCAGTTTGACCTTGTTCTACCCTGTTTGACTGTGTTCGACCATGTTTGACAATTAATAATTAGAACATGTATTCATGATTTTTTTGTTCAGTTCCATCCATATCTCCGATGGTTGACATTACACTCTTCCCCAACATGAAAATTACATTAAAAAGTTCATTGGGAAAGTTTCAAGCACAAATGAAGGGTTGGTTAGGTGATCATCCCGGCCTATTGAATCAGTTTAGGTCAACTATATTTGGCAAGTACTTAGACGTGCAATATGTCCCTATACCAATCCTTGTGTGGCCTTTACTTGGTAGAATATCGGATATTGAGAGAACTTCAGAGGTGTGGTTTATGATGAAGGGGGTCCCAATTCGCTAATCTCTAAAGGAGTCTGCTTTAATTAGTGGGTTGAACTGCGCTGCTCTGGACAAAGACAATTTTGAGAATTGAATGATTATGATGAGGATGATAGAACAAATTTTATTGATACTCACTGGCATTCTGTTCTTCTTGATGGAAGTAAAGATAAAGTTAGTTATGACACGATTATTCATCAACTTTGTAATCATTTAAACCACCATGATAAAGCTAAAAAAGATGAAGCACGGTCTGAAGTGATAAGAATGGCAACACTTGTGTTTATAGTGATGGTTCTTTTAGCCCCTGACAAGAGAGACAATTCCATTCCTGATTGGATCATTTCACAAGTCGGTAGATATTATCTAGACTTTTCATGGGGTACATGGGCATTTATGGAGTCTCTTAAGCAGTTGAAGAAGAACTTAAAAAAATGGATGAGATCATGCATCAAGAAGTGACTCCAACATTATGTTATACGAGTTTTGTAACTCCGATATCGGTGAGATACTTTTATTTATGACTATTATATTAAAAAATATTATGTATTTGTTGAATTAATTATTATTTGAATATATCTTGTTAGATCTTGTTGTTGGAGTGTGTATCAGGTTTTGCTGAAAAATTTGCTTTCAAGAAAAAGCAAACTACTCATGTCTCTCCCCGCATTTGTCTTTGGAATCTACGCTCTAAAGTTCATTGAGTTCGACATGCAAAAGAAGCATTATACCTGCCTTCATGGGATTAATGCGGAAGACATTAGACTGCTTAGGCTCAAGATGGTATTTGATATTTGTTTAGAATTTCAATCAACCTTAGATTTATCTAAATAGACTTGTTTTGTATGAACTCGTTTGTTATATGACATTTTAAATTGTAATGATAGTATGTGTGTTGTTTAAATATTTTGGTGTGAATTTGTGTGTAAATTTTTTAATTTGAGCATAAAAAAGAGGGTTAAACTCAGTTGAACCCATCAATACAACCCAGGTCGAACTCGGTCAAACATAGTAGAACCAATGTGAAACTAGGGTAGAACCGGGTCAATACAACCCCGGTCGAACGTCAAACATAGTAGAATGAACAGTCAAACCTGGTAGAACCCAGTCGAACTCGGTCAATCATGATTGTTTGACCATGGGCCAAACTGCTTAATGTATGAAAATGCTGCTTAATATATAACTACACTTAATTTGCATTTAACCAAATTGGAGTATATAGTTAGCCTGAATTGTAAAAATGATCATGGTTACTTAATATATCGATATAATATGAATATTTATTCTTGTGTTTGACATGTTTAGATTCCGATCATAAAAAGCCCTAATTTGACCCAATTAGGTCACACCTATTTCAAATGCAATTGGACTTTATGATGATCTCGGATTTTAAAATTGATTACTATTTACTTAATATGTTGATAAAATATTAATATTTACATTTGTGTTTGACATGTCTTAAATTGCACTCATAGAAAACCATAATTCCATCCAATAAGGTCACAACTATCTAAAATGAAATTTGATTATATGGTGAACCTGAATTGTAATATTGATAATGATATTCTTAATATATCAATACAACATGTATATTGACACTTGTGTTTGACAAGTTTTAGGCTCCATTGCATCCATACAAAACTCTAATTCCACCCAATAAGGGTACAACTATCTGAAATGCAATTGTAATAGAAGGTGAACCCGAATAGTAAAATTGTTAATGATGTTCTTAATATATCGATACAATATGAATATTTGAACTTGTGTTTGACATTGTTGGGTAAATGGCCCAAACAGGGGTTCGGCCCAATCACCCCCAAACCGACGTACGTCGCCTAGCCCACGGGTGACCTTAGCCCAGAGGAGATAGGACGAACGTCGGTTTCCCGGATAGCCGCGCAAGATCCCTGCCGAGGGGCAATTAGCATATTTCCCGACGAACGTCGTCAGCCGAGGCCCATCTTTGTAGATGGCCCAAGCCCAGAAGATCGTTTCACTCTATCAAGGGCCGCAGACGAGCGGTCCCCGGCCTTCCACCGCCTGCTGAGAATTGCCCCCAGTTCTACCAGACGATCATGGTCAGGAATTAGGCGGGGAATCCGGATTCTGGCGGGAAGCGCATTTAATGCTGGAGATTTGGTGGTTGGACCACAGCCACTAACAATCCTCCACGTCATCAGGACTAACTGCCCATTGGCGGGTATAAATAGTAGCATTTATTTCATTGTAAAGGGTTGGCAACTTTCTATTCTTAGCATTCTAGCTATAGCATTCTTACCGGTAGCATCTACACTATCTCGTAAGACGAACGGCCGACGTGCCCTTTTTAGCAAGTAGATTGTACTTAGGGGAGTTATTACGAAGTTAATAATACCTATTTACATTGCCTGCTATTTCCTCTGTTTCCTGATCCATCTGATAGTTGTTGGGCTAGATATTCATACGTTCACTCCACTCGAAATCTTTGGGCTTACGTGTTGGGCCTGAAGGTTGAAGGAATAAACCTCAACAGACATGTTATAAGCTCCATTCATGGAAAACCCTAATAGCAACCAATTAGGTCACAATTATCTGAAATGCAATTGAACTATAGAGTGAACCCGAATGGTAAAATTCATTATTGTTTACTTAACATATCAATAAAATATGAATACTCACACTTGAGTTTGACATGTTTTGAGTTCCATTCATACGAAACCTTAATTAACCTTAATTCCACCCAATGAGGGCACAAAGATTTGAAATGCAATTGTACTAAATGTGAACTCGAATTGTGAAATTGATCATGCATTACTTCATATGTCGATACAATATGAATATTTTCACTTGTGTTTGACATGTTTTAGTCTCCGATGATAGAAAACACTAAGTCCGCCCAATAAGCCACAACTACATGTGTTTGTATTTCGGAAAGTTGTGGTCTTATTACAAAGAAGTAGAGTTTTCTATGAGAAGTAACCTAAAACATGTCAATACGCATCTAATATTCATATTGTGTCCATGTATGAAGTAACTCATGATCAATTTTACAATCCGGGCTCACCATTTGGTCCAATTGCATTTCGGATAGTTGAGACCTAATTGGGTGATATTAGGGTTTTCTATAAATGTTGCCCATAACATGTTAAAAAAAGTTCAACTGTTCATTATGCATTGATTTATGAAGAATATAAATACCAATTTTACAAGTCGGGTTCATCGTATAGTTCAATTGCATTTAAGATAGTTGTGCCCTTATTGGGTGAAATTAGAGTTATGTAAGAATGGAGCCTAAAATATGTCAAATACAACTGTGAATATTCTTTTTTTATTGATATATTGAGAACATCATTACCAATTTTACAATCCGGGTTCACCGTATAATTCAATTGCATTTGGGATAGTTGTGCCCTTATTGGGTAAAATTAGGGTTTTGAATGAATGGAGCCTAAAATATGTCAAACATAACTGTAATTATTATTTTTTTGTATTGATATATTGAGAAAATCATTACCAAATTTACAATTTGGGTTCACTCTATAGTTCAATTGCATTTCTGATAGTTGTGCCCTTATTGGGTAAAATTAGGGTATTGAATGAATGGAGTCGAAAATATGTCAAACATAACTGTAAATATTCTTTTTGTATTGATATATTGAGAAAATCATTACCAATTTTACAATTTGGGTTCACTCTATAGTTCAATTGCATTTCAGATAGTTGTGCCCTTATTAGGTGAAATTAGGGTTTTGTATGAATGAAGACTAATGCATATCAGACATCTATAAATACTCATGTTTTATTGATATATTAAGTAAACAATAATCAATTTTAAAATCCGGGTTAATCATATAATCCAATTGCATTTGGTATAGGTGTGACCTAATTGTGTCAAACTAGTATTTTCTATGAATGAAAACTAAAGCATGTCAAACACAAGTATTAATATTCATATTATATCGATATATACAATTGAGGTTCACCAGACATAACCCAATTTGACCTATGGCCAAAATTGACCGTGTTCAACTAGGTTTGACCGGGTTTTACCGGGGTCGACCTATCTACTAAGTTTTACTGAGTTTGACCATGTTCGACCTTATTCTACCCATGTAAAATTGTATGTTCTACCCTGTTCTACTATGTTTGACCAAGTTCAATAGCGAACCTTACAATATGTTATGGAGCATAATAAATAGAGAGAAAACACGATATATAAGTACAATAGACGATAAGTAGTACAAACTAAATTACAACTCATCCAGTGTTTCCAGAGTAGAGTCATTTACTATTTTCACAGTAGGCAACTGATGTTTACAAGTTCTTAAGGTATGTCCTTTCTTTTTGCACCCCGAACACGTCAATTGCCATTTCTTCCTATGCTCACCCACGGATGGAAATCTTTTCATCGTAGGCCTTCCTCTCTTCCTAGAAATTATAGGTGGATGAATTTCCAATTGGACTTCATCATTGGCTTCACATTCTTCTTCTCTTGTGACAGGATAAATGGTTTCGGCATATGCGACATACATAGGATCACATAGGTCAAACCGTGACATTTGTAATGAGACTTTCAACGAATGAGTACCTTTTTTATAACCAGTTTCCTCACACAAACATTCCAAAAATGAATCAAAGTCCGTATTGGATGCATCCCAACCAAAAGCAACAATTTTTTATCTCCTTCAAACGTGTAGTCTCCATTCTCATGTTTTTTCCATTGCCCATCATAAACAACGTATATCAACTGTGTCGAACATGTAGCCATCTGTGAATGTAAAGAATATTAAATCATTATACATAGTCAAACTAATTGTCAAACTTGACAAAAATATTAGAACACAGTCAAACCCGGTCAAACTTAGTCAACCATGGTCGAACCTATCAAACATGGCCAACTAAGAAGCCGTCAAACCTATGAAAACCTACCAGAATGTTAAAACATGGTCAAACATGATCAAACCCAGCCAACCATGGTAGAACCTATCAAATATTCCCATCTAAGGTGCACGAAGTACAGTCTTCATAGATTATTTTCAAAAAAAAAAAAAACAGGTTAAGAGTTATCCATTATTGTCAACAAAGCTTTTTATACTAAGTAGATTTCTTGAAATAAATAGTCAAAGATACTTTAACTTACTTGGAAGGGAGAATGAAGACAATGGAGATGCTAAAGAAGAAGATGTTGATGATTGGTGAGTTACGTTGAACTCAAAGAGGAAGGTTTGAACGTGTTCAACCGAACTTCGAAGCATAGCTTGTTCGAACGCTTCAAGGAAGAGGATGTACGCTAGGAGGAGGGCATCCATCGGAAGATAAGAAAAGGTTTGATTTGTGAAGGGTACCCCTAATAATCATAAACCTTATGAGGGCACTTTGATAAACAAAATCTCTTTTAGGGGCATTTGAAAAATTTGTCCATGGGTCTTGAGTCTTATAAATGGAATTAGTGCGAAAATTTCAATAAAGGTGTAGTTAATTCCTATTTCATTTCTGTCAAATACCTTGTGGTTTGATGGCACTGTTGATCTCCCAAAAAGAAGGTCGAAAAAAGGTTGACATCCATAATAGGTTTAGAAGAATATAAAAAAAAGTAAAAAAAAATTGTTGCTCCGTATTTCATTTGTAATTTGTATGAAACATACTCGTGTAATAAAGTTATTATAAAATGGTTGAGTGAAAAGGCGGTCGTGTCTAGGGTTTCTCCTAGTTGGAAGTGTATGACGGTAACGGTGGTTGCCGGTCAGATCGTTTTGTTCTTTTTCTGAAGAATCCAGTGCAGCTGAAGGAATCCAGTGCGGCTGAAAGGTTGTCAGTGATCGATGCGAGTGGATCGGTTCTGTTCCATCATCGGCTTTTAGTTACGTTGGTTTTTACCGAAGCATTCCGTGGGTAGACTTGGTGCTCCAATTTTTCGATGAAGACTGTGCGGCGATCATTTTTCGTCGGACAAGGAGGAGGAGGAGGACTGCATTGACCAAGCATTAATAATTATTTTTACACGATTATTTACACGAATGTTGCCATATATGCTTAGGCCACTATAATTATGATGCTCACCCATATGAATATTTCCATAAAAGTTCTTTTAAAAATTATTTCCTTATTTCTTTATAAAATAATAAGTATATCTACATTATGAAATAGACTATATTACATATAACGTCTTTGAACAAAAAGTTCTAAAAATTATTATGGTCCATTTTTAATTATGATGCCATTTGTAATGATATTTGTATATGATTATTGCCATAAAAAGTTTTGCTTTAAAGTATTTATGTCATTTTATCTTATTTTCTATTATTATATATCTGTTACAAATTGTAATATAAAAAGTTGTTACTCCTATTTTTTGGTTGTCGTATTTTATCAATTACACATTATATAGTAAGAAGCAATCATTATTATCCATTATTTAATTAAGAAAATACAAAGAAATACTAAACAAAAAGTGTTGATCCCAACTTTAGTAACTAATTGCACATTAAATAAGAATATGAAAAGTATATGTTACTCTATAATGCTCATTCTAAAACAATGTGAGGGTCCTAATAATGGCTAATATGGAAATGAGTTTTCTCTTCCAATAAAATTTCTCTCCCATTAAATAGTGGTAATATGAAAGTAAAAGGGTGAAGATATAACTTTCGTAAGAAATTTTTTCTTTTAATTGTTCTGTTTATTTTTATGTAATAATATAATTTAATGAATCTCATATATGTTTCTCTCTAATATTTGTGCCTCAATAAAGTAATAAATCTCTATAATTATCCTCCCATGTAGGCTTTCAGTTTTTATCCCTGTGTGTGTTAATAATATTTATATAACAAAATTTAGGAAAGTGACTACAAATATTGACAACTTAAAAAAAATTCCCGCTTAAAGTAAAGTTAAATTAGCATAATTTGTGATGATATTTTTGGAGCATCTCCAATTAAAAACATGGGCACGGCACACATGGCAGGAGAGATAAAAATATAAAAATTAAAATGATGTAGAACATCTCTCTTCTTATTTGATCGGTAATATATGTTTTCGGTAGGGTTTTCTTCACGATGTCTGAATGTAGATATTGTAAAGGAGTTTTTGCAACTGCTTCTACTTAAAAAAAGCACTTTTGGAGATATTGGGAAAAAGTGATAAGTGGTAAAAATTGATAGTGTTTGAGAAAAAAGTGGTTTTGAAAAGTAAAAGTTGGTAGTGTTTGGTAAAATAAGTGTTTTTTGTGTAATAGAAAAGCGAAAAACACTTTTCACACGCAAGCCGAGAAAAAGTAAAAATTGGTAGTGTTTGGTAAATAAGTGTTTTTTAAGCCAAAAGCTGAGAAGTGCTTTTTTTAAGCTATTGCAAACACTCCCTAAATTGACGTTGTTGAGAAAAACCATACAAAACTCATAAGGCCGTAGAAAGGAGAGACAAATGTCATTAATATTCTTTTGTGTTAATCCTTCTCATGTCACATATGAACATTGTATGCATCCACTAAAAATTACTCCCTCCATCCCATAAAGTTAGTGTTACTAATTTCCTCCTTGAATAACGTGTCAATGTCATACTCCCTCAATCCCAAAAAGATTAGGCAAATTGATTTTTATTGATCAATGATGGTCAAGTTTAAACAATAATATTTCTTAATACAAAATTATTTAAAATATGAAAATTATGATCATATTTTTTATTAAAAAATCTTTCATAAAAGTATAAAATTTATAAATTACACACAATATAATATCTAAAATCATTGTCTTAACTTCAACACCATTGACCAAGAAAATCAATATGACCAATATTTTTGGGACAAAGGTAGTATGTAAACATCTTTAAAATACGTAGGGAGTATATTACCATTGTTTCCGATCGCTAATCACTGCATCTACCAGCAAACTGTTTGCCACCAATTTGTACAATGCGCCTATGATGTTATAGTTTAACAAAACATATACTATAAATGAGTGAAAATATGGCAAAAAAAAATTCGTGATACCTATTAATAATTGTGCCATCAAGTTATTTCATTGTCACGTACAGTAATTGTTATACCTTATCGTTTATTTTAATTTTACTTGAATTTTTTTACTGTCCGAATTTCCATTTTGTTACAACTACTACTTATATAATTAATAAAAGTAACACATAAACTCTATCGTCTTTTTTTATTTGACAAAGTTACACATTATGTACCATCATAATACTTAATTTTAATTAACTCATTATTCAATTCTAGATATATCCTGTACATCGCATGAGTACTTGGTTTAGTAATTAATAATTCTCACAAATCATGTAATATTATTCAATTCTAGGTAAATAGCATTACTCAATCTTTGTTCCGTGCATCCCGTGAGAATTAGTAATATATATGGCGAATTGGTCTTGAATCTTATCTCCCTAACAGCAATTCTGCAGAGTTTATGTTGTTCCGGAGGAGTTATATTTCCTTGGAAGGCGAATCTGACCCTCATTGAACCCTTCGGAACTGCCTCAGAAGTAGAAGAACAAGAAAAGTCAAGACCAGCAGTTCAATCCCACCGCGCGTCGCGTAGATGAAGATCTTCCAAAGTCGATCACTCCCCATCCCATCTCTTCACGATCCACAATTGTAACTAACATTGACGGAGAACCAAGCTAAGATTGTAGAGTTAACAGCTTTTGATTGGTGCTGCGAGGATGATGAACACATCTGGGACTAATGGTTTGTTGGCGTTATCGTCTACATCGGGGAATAACACGCAATCCCCTGGTCTGAAGACGCATTTCAAGACTCCAGAGGGGAGGTATAAGCTTCAGTATGAGAAAACTTACCCTGCTGGCCTTCTTCACTATGGCCATGGCAAGACCGTTACTCAGGTTCTCCACTAACGCTATAGCTGGATTGATTTTAGTTTATTTCAGTTTGGGCACTGACTTTTAGTTTTTTCCCCGTAGTCTGCATTTCAGTAGTTAGTTTGAAGGAAACAATTTGACTTTGTAGGTCTTGTAAGATTGGATTTTCGGGCTAGGTTTCACAAAGGGAATTTGTTTGTGTTTTTCCAGTTTGATTGTCTATTTCTTCACCCTTTTTCTCTAAGTAATCAGCATTCTAAAGGCTAGTACGAACGAAATGGTTTGACTTAGCAGTTTTCATGTTTTTGTAAGATTATTTGTGTGGGATAAAATTTGAAACCTTGTGGCTCAATCAGGGGCGGATCCAGGAATCTGAGATGCCCTGGGCTGAATAGGAATTATACTAAGCTCGGTGGGCTAAATGTGAAAAATGAAAAAATTTACATTAAAAAATTGAAAATTTTCTAAGTTGCCCTGGGCTTCAGACTACCATAGCCCGTACATAGATCCTCCCATGGGCTCAATTTTGTAGACTTAGAGCCAGTTTAGTAGCCAAACAGTGACTTATTATGCTTATCAATGGAATAAGCAGAAAATCTTTTTGCTTACTTTGTTGGCTGAAATGAATTTTATCAAATGCTTTTCCTTTCAGGAAATTCAGCGAATTCAATTATAAGTTCAGTCTCTTAAGCAGGCCCTTAGTGTTTAAATGTCTGTTTTATAGACCTGTTAACATGTCCTTTTATTCCATGAGAAGTCAATAATATGTGAACATGGCGTATTGGTGCCTCTCCATCTCTCTTTATGACGAGCTTGGATTTATCTCTAGTGTAAATATATAGTATGGAGTAGTAATTTCCCATCTGAAGTAATCCATGTTTTTTTTGAGGAAATAATCCATGTATTTCTGAAGCAATAAAATTTAAAAATTATCTGTAAATTTATAACTTACTAGCAATGATTCATTGATTTGTTATCATTACATGCAAATTTTGATGAAAAATGTTTAAAAATTGACTTCGGTGTCCAGGTAACCCTAGCTCACCTTAAAGACAAGCCAATGCAGACACAATCACAGTTATCAACTTCTGGGACAAACAGTAGTGTTAGGTCTGCAGCAGCAAGGTTGTTATTGGGTGGTGGAAATGGGAGTAAGGCACTTAGTTTTAGTGGCTCTAATGGCGGAAGTAAGTCCGTTAGTGGGATGAGTACTAGAATTGGATCATTAGGTGCTTCAAGCTCAAATCAGTGTGTAGGGAATTCAAATTTCGATGGTAAGGGAGATTACTTGGTGTTCAACGTTGGTGATGCAGTATTTATCTCTGACTTGAACTCTCGTGATAAGGTTTGGTTTTAATCCTTATTTTAACTTCCTGACTTGCATCATTTTGATGATTTATGATTTTCTGACCATTTATTATTATTGTTATTTTTGGATTTTAGGAGCCTATAAAGTCGATACATTTTAGTAATTCAAACCCCATCTGCCATGCTTTTGATCCAGAAGCTAAGGATGGTCATGATCTTCTTATTGGTTTAACATCTGGGGATGGTAAGTAATTTTTTTAGTTGCTTCGCCCATTCAAAGTGGATTGTTATACATTAAGTCCATCTTTAAATTATTTTTTGTTTATGTATTGTAGTTTATTTAGTGTCTTTGAGGCAGCAATTGCAAGACATTGGAAAGAAGCTTGTTGGAGCACAGCATTTTAACAAAGATGGCTCTGTTAACAACACGTAAACACCCAACTCATTCCTGGTTTGATTACTTATGTCTTTGGAATTTTTTAAACATTATAGTCCTGATAAATGATTTTCATTTCCATACCAAGTTTTTGTGTTTAATAGTACTTGTTTCTAGAGATTTTTTGGACAAAAGTTATATGAACATAATTTTTTATTGTAAATTGATCATGTGTCTAAGGATTAAATTTTATTGCCAAATACACCCTCCATCCCATATTATTTATCGTTTTAAGGATTCAAATAAGAGTCATCTGGCCTTATTTATAAATTATAATGTTTCATAGTTCTATTATTAATAATTCCTAGAAGCTATTAGTCTTTCTCTCAAATAAATTGCCTTTCTATCTAAAAATATGAAATATTAGAGCATTTAGTAATCTCGAGTAGTGTAATAAATGTTCTTGTCTTTAATACTCATCTTACAATTACTAACCAGTTATATACTTATATGAAAAGATTAAACAGGGGGAATATAGGAAGACAAGTGGAAATTATATCTTGAATTACTAAAACAACATTATCTTGGAGCAAATTCTTGAGGCAAAAAACAACAAATGATTTGGGGCGCAGTGAGTAATTTTATTTTTACTTTTTGTCTACAACAGCCGTTGTACTAGTATTGCATGGGTGCCTAATGGTGATGGAGCTTTTGTTGTGTCTCATGCGGATGGAAGCTTTTATGTCTATGACAAGGCAAGTCTTGATGATCTCAAGAGCTTTAAGAATTGTATGTGCCTAGTAGTAATTATCTTAAAGATTTATCTCTTACATATAATAGAGTTAATTGTGGCTCATTTTCCAGAGTAAGGATAGTTCAAGTGATCCTTCATTTCCAGTTATTAAGGACCATACCCAATTTTCAGTGGCACATGCACGCCATAGTAAGGTATCAGTATTTTTAATTGTTGCACTTGCCTTCTTGAAATTGTTTCTGCATAAGTCTTCATTAAATTGATGTTGCATAATTCTATACAGAATCCTGTTGCCAGGTGGCATATTTTTCAAGGTGCAATAAATAGCATTGCTTTCTCAACAGATGGGACCTATATTGCAACTGTAGGGAGAGATGGTAATAAGATTCTAATCTTTTTGTGTACTTTTCTTTTGCTTTTGCTTCTTGGAAGTATTACATTAGTTTATATGAGAGATTACGAGCTAAAGTTGAGAAATGTATATAGGCTACTTACGAGTATTCGACTACAGAGGTGAACAACTTGTATGTGGTGGGAAAAGCTATTATGGTGCACTATTATGTTGTGCTTGGAGGTAAGAAATGCTGTTGCTTTTATTGAGTATATAGTCATATGACTTTGAGCTTTATGGCTATACCTTCCTTGCAAATTTATATGCTCCCTTTGTCCCAAAAAATCATGTTTCAAAAGCTTTTCGGATCTAAAACAGTCACATTTCACTGAGCGGAGCCAACTTTTCACAGTTTGCCAAATATACAATTACAAAACAGTTAAATATGTTAGATTTAGTTGTACTAAAAGTTTAATTTTAGTTATATAAATAGGATTACGTGATTTGTAAGAGTTCTCCTTTCCCTATGCCAACAGTAGAAAGATGTATCTATACCAAAAATATATATTCTTGTACAGAGTTTTTTGTTTATATATTTGTATTTATTTTTCAATTAGATGAATTGCAACTCATAGTAATTTAATGAACAGCATGGATAGTAAATATATACTAACGGGAGGAGAGGATGACTTAGTTCAAGTTTGGAGTATGGATGAGCGGAAGGTTGTAGCATGGGGAGAGGGACACAACTCATGGGTAAGTTTTTTATAAACCACCTGGAAAGCTTTATTCTTTTAGTAATGTCCAAGACCATTGGATGCATTACTCTGTCAACACTTTTCTACACAGGTGAGTGGCGTGGCCTTTGATTCTTATTGGTCAGCACCTAATGCAGATTGCTCAGGCGAAAATGTTGTCTACCGGTTTGGTTCTGTTGGCCAGGTAGTCTACTATTACATGTTTTCTTTCAATTATGAAAACTGATAGGGACTAATCATGTGTTGATTCATGTTAGCCGACCCCAAACTCTTTTGGGACCAAGGCTTGGATGTTGTTGTTATATGAAAACTAATCCTCCATCAATTACTTGAGCATAGCTAACTAATGGACATCGTTGGAAATTAAATATGGCAAAGCTTTGTATTTTCTGAGCTGCTTGGCTAAAACGCTTCAATTAGAAAACAATTAGCTCATTTTATTTTGATGTCAATTTGATATTTTCATTTGTTCTATACTAAGTTGATTTTAAAAAAAGTTCATGGTCAAACTTTTAGTCTGAAGATTAAATAAGTAGACTGTAAGATAAGTAAGATCATATGATGAACTAAAATGTTCTCTAATGGTTTAATAAGCTGACTAACAAATTCCGATATGTGCCAATGCTTGAACAAGGATTCGTAAGATGAAGATGTTTTTGGCTTAGGAAATGTTTGCCATATTAATCTCAGGGATACAAATTGTCAAACTCTACGTTCTTTAGACTGCAGTTTGGACTAGTTTGGTTTACTGTTAGTTCTTTGTTAGCACTTGCAAAATACCTGCTTTCGTATTATTGTTTTTCAACTTTTTTGCCATCAATTTGTTGATCTGAAGTAGGAACCTGGAATTCAGTACGGAAAAAGATGGGGTGGGAAATAGAAGAAATTTTAGAGGAATGAACACTTTGTGAAAAAGGAAAAGAAAACAGTTCAAGCTCAGTCTACTTACTCATTAAATAAGTAGACTGTAAGATAAGTAAGATCATATGATGAACTAAAATGTTCTCTAATGGTTTAATAAGCTGACTAACAAATTCCGATGTGCCAATGCTTGAACAAGGATTCGTAAGATGAAGATGTTTTTGCCTTGGGAAATGTTTGCCATATTAATCTCAGGGATACAAATTGTCAAACTCTACGTTCTTTAGACTGCAGTTTGGACTAGTTTGGTTTACTGTTAGTTCTTTGTTAGCACTTGCAAAATACCTGCTTTCGTATTATTTTTTTCCAACTTTTTTGCCATCAATTTGTTGATCTGAAGTAGGAACCTGGAATTCAGTACGGAAAAAGATGGGGTGGGAAATAGAAGAAATTTTAGAGGAATGAACACTTTGTGAAAAAGGAAAAGAAAACAGTTCAAGCTCAGTAAATCAATTTTATACCTTTGTTTAAACTCATTTTACTTGTATATTTCTATTATGTGAAGACTAACAAATCTAAATTTACATAAATGATTTAAAGAGTTTTAATCAAATTTTATTTTCCTCCGTAAAATAAAAACAAATTTTCTTAGCATTGTTTTATTTCCTTTCCCTGTCATTTTCCACATGGCAAACATGACGTTACTTATTGTGTTTGATTGGTTCATGCACAGGACACACGATTGCTTCTATGGGATCTGGAAATGGATGAGATTGTGGTCCCAATTCGACGCCCTTCCAGCGGATCACCAACACTCAGTACAGGAAGCCAGTCTGCCCACTGGGACATGGCAGGTCCTGTGGGATGCTTACAACCCGCTCCAAGCATGCGTGATGTCCCTAAGCTGTCACCTTTGGTTGCCCACCACGCTCACACCGAACCGCTATCCAGTTTGTTATTCACGCAAGAATCTGTTGTCTCCATTTGCAGAGAAGGGCACATTAAGGTTTGGAGGAGACCGGGATTTGGTGAAAGCCCGACAAGCAACTCTGCTGCAGATGCTTTATTATTGAAGGAAAAACAACAACCAGTTTCGAGTAAGGTGGGTAGTTTGAATGTCAAACAGTAGCCATATGGATGGATGCATGATGACATAACTCGCACTGGGACATACATTTCGGGGATGCACGCCATCAGTTCAGAAGAGAAGCGGGCTCAACCCAACCCCCTTGTAATTATGAGAAGGGTTGTAAAAAAGGAGTAAAGTTTTTCGATGAGCAGCAGCGGCGGCATGGGGAAAATAATTACTCATAATAATATAGGTACTAGGACACACTCTTTATGTAGTTAGATAATCTGGATTTTAATATTAAGCTCTGGCTATGCGATTATTAGCAAGCAGAATTTTGCTTCGGGTTTTGCATTATTAGGTACCATAGTATCTGTTAAAAAATATGTTCTTTTTTTCCTTTTAAAATGGTCATATAATAAATCATACCGATGCCATTAATGATTATCTTTCCATCTCCAGTTCATCAGTTTCGCTTGATAAGTAGTACTCCCTCCGTCCCATTTAACGGTTCCGTCCACTATTCACACGAGCAACTTAAATCATTCTTAACCTTTTGCTTTATATATCAAATTTTTATGAAATTTATATTTTTAATCAGGCTTTGTAGCGACTTTAATGTAGTCTCAGAATATGTAAATTTTATTTACTAGATATAATCAGAGTGTGAACAGGCATCAAGTTGCTTTATCGTCAGTCAAGCATCGTAACGCGAACCAGGAACCTCTATATGGGACTGAGGGAGTACTACGTAAAAAAAACTTCTTTGACTTGATGGAAGTTGGCGATGGAACCATGGCTGAAAGACTTTACCCATCTAGTTTATCAATCAACTCTGCTGCGTGTACACGTCATTTTACACGCTTGTACAAACAATTTGATCGGCGTGTAAAATGACGTGTACAAGCTGCCGTTTACAAAGAGCATTTTCCTTTATCAATTGCATGAATGAATTCCTTGGAAATAAGAATGTGTCCAGTGATACTCAAAGATGTTTCTAGCTCGGTAGATATCAAACATGGGAGAATAGAAACGAGTCTAGAACACATAACCTTAGGGCCCGTTTGGTATGATGTAAAGTAAACACTTTGCATGTGAAGTGTGGGAAAGTAAACATTTTACCCCGTTTGTTTTAATTATTTAACGTAAACTGTAGGACACTTTTTTAAAAACATTTTACACTGTAACGTGTAAAATATTTTACGCGGTAGTAAACTATTTTACACTCTCGAATCACAGATGATAAAATATTCTCCGTATCATGTTCTCGACGATTAGTGGCAAAAAGAAGGTTGGCGACAATCTTATTCTTAACTGCGAAGTAGGTTTTCTCCATCTGCGATGCAGTGATCGAACTGCAATTTCCAAGAGTTGGCTGTTGGCCTGATGATATATTGATATTCTAGCGCTTGAGTATTTCAAGAATTATTTGATTTAAATTATTATTTTAATATATATAAATAATATTATATTGATACGGAGTATTATATAATATTATATATACATATACGTATATATATAGTCTACTGACTACTGGTGTGTGAATTTCTGAAAATGGTGTTGGTGTTGGTGTGTGATCCAACTACTAAACTTTTGTGGCTGTTTTCAAGTCTAATTTCAGCAAAAGCATGCGACTATTAACATATTTGGATGGATGGATGGAACGACAACGATACTCCCTTTTAGTCTTTTACGTGTGAATTTATTTTAAATTTGAGTCTTCATTTATTTTACATGAATTTTTAAAATAGATCGCATACCTCTCCAAATAATGTATTTTTATTTTACATGCGAAATGATTACATCCCTATAGTTTACATGAAATCACTTTACATGTAAAGTTTTAATATGCAAAGAACCAAATGCCCCATTAGTGCAAACTTTATTAGTACATTCGTCACAATGACATTGAGATATGAGAAGATGACACAATTATTAAGAAAAAGAGATTTATGTGCAGTGGTTGATATTAAAAATAAACATATTAAGAAAATAAACATATTAAGGTGGATGGGTTTATTTTGACAAAAAGTTTTACATCCGTTGACATTCACATTACATATTCTCAAAAACATAATAATATTTAGTTTAAAATTAATCATTAAACATATTATTATAGAAACAATAAGCCTTTCATGATTATCTCTCGACCATCGTAATCGTTCGAATCATCAATAAAGACAATGTTGAACACAATAATATATCATTCACTTAAGAATTTAAAGATTAATATGATTGGAACAGGGGTCATTAATCGTAGTGGGAAAAGGAGTTTAGGTCTACGTATGAAAATGAAAATAAATGATGGTCTACAATACACATGAATTTGTAAAAGTACACATGTGAGTATGTGACCAATTCAACATGATAATTATCATCGCCATTATTGTTATTATTAGAATCTTTGATGTTATTCTCGAACGTTGATGTAAAAAAAACTTTACACGATTTGATTATGGGGATGTTTGGATTTAATTTACTCATAGAATTAGTTTTTTTAGAAGCTGGGGGAGACCAGCTTCTGAAAAGTGATTCTGACTCTGTTTATGCTTTAAAAAGAAGTAGAAGCACAATCGATTCCAAACACCCACATAATTTAGCCCGTGCATCGCACGAGTGAGTATAAAAAAGTCATGGGCCATTTTTCAAGCACACGATTCATGTCGATTATGAGCCCGTTTGGTAGCACCAAAATCGGCTGTTTTGGCTGATTCTGCTGAAATTTATGATATTCTGGCTGGAGTGGCTGTTTTGGCTGATTCTGCTGATTTAAGAAAAAAAATATTTTAAAAATATATTTTATTAATAAATTAAAGAAAAAATTATATGTAAAAATAGCTAAAATGGTCCTCTACAGTAACTTCAACCAATACAGCCTGAAAAGTAACTCCAACCTTACTTTTTCGGCTTATTACACAATTCAGCGCGCGAAAGTAAAAGTTACGTGTTTGGTGAAAAAGTTGGCTGATAAGCCTGATAAGCCGAAAACAGAGTTCTCCAGACGGGCTCTATATGGTAAAAACTAAAAAAAGTAAAGAGATGCCCTTAAATCACCCATTACTTTAATCACAACTCATAGGGAAGTTAGCCATTCATTGGAAAACCCTCATGAATGCCCTCCCACTTGCGCCGTTGCCTGTTGCTTCAAAAATCAAACCATCCTCCTCTCCCTCCTTGTCGTGCTCGTTGTGCTGATGAGTCGCCAATCAAATGCCCCGAATCCGCACAAGGAGGTTGCGCTCCCTGAACTCGCAAGGATATAAGAAAGCTTAGCATACCCCTTTTTTATTACTGAAACTCTAAAAAATAAGAATAATTATATTTTTTAGCCTATTTTTTTTTGCAGTAATTATAATTTATAAATTCAAACATTCCAATGTAAAAATAAATAAAATTGGAGTTCAATTTTTTTTCTTGGTTATATTAATTTGGATCTATCTTTTAAACAAAAAATTGTAACAATTGGATCTTAATTTTAGCACTTAGATCTACCTAAGGAAAAATTGGGCCTAAAATCATTGAGTCGTCAGATCTTAATTTGTGACTTTATATATGCAATATTGGTGTTTCATCAAAGATCATAAAAAGAATAATTTTGATATATATTTTTGTAAAAACCGGAGTACAAATTAAAAAGTTAAAACTATTTGGTTCTCACTACAACCTCTCGTCTATTTTGCTCCTTTTTCCTCTTCCCTTTGTTTTCTTATTCTTATTCTATTCTATTGGGGTAGTCGAGGCTCCTTTTTTCCTATTTCCTCTAGAGTGTTTTATTCTTCTTATTTCTATAGCGGTGAAGATTTATATTTAGGCACGACAATGCATCGGGACAGGTAGTTCAAAATCCATATATGTCATGTGACTTTACTAAGTGAACCCACCCCCGCTCGGTGATGACTTGCATGGGTCATATATAGATGTTGGCCCATGATCCGCCTCGTCCTGTCGCAATACAATAAAATGTGTCAACAAATGAGTGAATATAAAATGAGTGTATAAGTTTTCAACAAATGAGTGAATAAGTTTTCAACAAATGTCTTTTATTTTAGACTTTAATAGTGAATATATTCGTATTAACAAATGAGTGTATAAAATGCCGAAAATAAAAGACATTGATAATTAATGACTCATCTAGTTTAAATACAAGTATTACTTCATATTTTTATTTACTATAATAAAGACATTGACAATCACGTAGTAATGCATAAAAAAATCAAAAAAATTATGATTTCCTATACACATATTTTTTTAAATTATTTTAGATGTATTTGTTTATATATTTATATATTGGACGAGGCGAAGTGAAAGACTGATCTCATCAAATGTGGGCGGGGCGGGCGAACTGACTCATTTGAAAGATGGAAGACCCGACTCAAATGTCTTGAGATAGTTTGAGTTATATTCTCCACTCATGGCCCAGTCATGGGTCATGAGTGTTACTCGTCAACTCCCACCCTTTCTATACTTTTTTGTACTTCCTTCATTCTTTTTTAAATGCAACGGTCCACTTTTCACGTTTGCCAATGCACAAGTTTGTCCATTCATATTTTTCATTCCTTATTAGTAAAAAAATTATATTTTGAAAATTTGAAATGAGAAGAATTTAACATTTTTTTTAAAACTTAATTTATTATCTATTAATAAATAAAATAGAGTCAAAGTAGAACACATGAATAGTGGAAAAAATCCAATGTTGCATTTAAAAAAGAACGGGGGAGCATATAATACAGAGTACGAAGTAGAAATTGTACATTTGTAAAAGAACTTGAGTGAGAAATTCAAATTTAATCATTTTCAATTATGCTATAGTCACCTCATTAGTACCCCACTTTGTACCCCATATAAAAGCCTTCCCATTTTTACCTTTTGTTACCCCCTCCAAACATCTCTCTTCCCACATCCCCTATTTCTTTCTCTTGGTCGTTCCTTTCTATTCTCCCACCCCCAATTCCCATTATTTTCTCCTCTTTCCATTTTAAGAGCTCTATAATCTCCATTTTTGAAGTTCTCAAGACCTCCCCATTTAGTTGTCTCTAAGGTAACCATCCCTTCTCAAATAATGAGGTACGCACTCTATTTCCAATTTTTCTTCATGTGCGTTTTTATTTTTTTATTTTCTCCTTTTTTTGATTTTATGTAAATTATGTATGATATAACATTGAATAATTGATTAGTTTGTTTCATTGTAATGATTTTGAGGTGTTAATTAATTAAAATTAAAATTTTAGTGTAATTTCTTTAGTTCATTTTATGCCCATAACATGTTTGTAGAAATTACTCAATGATTTTTGTTGTTGAAATTCAAGACTTCTTTTCCATTTTTTATACCTCAGTGTTTAATGAGGATTTTTATGGATTTCCAATTCAATATGATATAGTAATTTTTTTAATGAATATTTTATGTGATTATTATGAAGTTTTTTAGGTTTGTAATTGAGTTTTAGATGTTTGGTAAACTATTGTTACATGTTTGTATTTCGTTTGAGCTGTCAGTAATGACTTCATAAATGTGTGGTGCATGTATTGGTTTTGTACTTGTCATTGATGTGGTTTGAGTTGTCATTATGTATTGTTTGTGGTAATGGCTTGGTAGTTTAAAATTTGTTTGTAGTTGTCTGTCATGTGAAATTAGTTGTCTAGCAAGCCATTTGAGTTGTCTGTCACTTCAGTTTGAACTGTTGAAACTAGGTTTGTAGTTGTCTGTCATGTGAAACTAGTTGTCTGGCAAGCCATTTGAGTTTTCTGTCACTTCATTTTGAATTGTTGAAACTAGGTTTGTAGTTGTCTGTCATGTGAAATTAGTTGTCTGGCAAGCCATTTGAGTTGTCTGTCACTTCATTTTGAACTGTTGAAACTAGGTTTGTAGTTGTCTGTCATGTGAAATTAGTTGTCTGACAAGCCTTCTGAGTTGTTTGTAGGCTATTCAATCCAACCTTTATTACAATACATAAATTGTGTGTATAAGTGTCGTAAATGTCTGTCTTGGTTATACTTGTTTGTCTACAGGTCAGAAGAATGTGGAGCGATGGTTGCATCCTTTGGAGAGCACCTGTTAATGGGAAAGCCCCTGGTTCCAGAGTGTGAATATGCAAACATGTGGAACAAGAGATGTCAATACGTTGTTCCTTTGTGGCGATTGAGGAGGGTGGAAGAAGCATATGAATTCCTTATAAATTGTGTGTATAAGTGTCGTAAATGTCTGTCTTGGTTATACTTGTTTGTCTACAGGTCCGAAGAATGTGGAGCGATGGTTGCATCCTTTGGAGAGCACCTGTTAATGGGAAAGTCCTTGGTTCCAGAGTGTGAATATGCAAACATGTGGAACAAGAGATGTCAATACGTTGTTCCTTTGTGGCGATTGAGGAGGGTGGAAGAAGCATAGGAATTCCTTAGAAATGTGGGAATGTTTTTATGGGTTGTTTAATGTCTGTGTGACCAGACAACTTTATTTTTTTGTGTAAGTAGAACAAATGTCTATATTCGCATGCAAGTATTTCACAAATGTATTATAATGTACGTTTGATGAGTTGAGTAAGTGTTAATGCAGTTTTTACATAAATGTGGGTGCTTTTGTTTGGAAACATAGTTATATTTGGCCGAATATAAAGATAATTGTTTGTCTGTAGAGACGAAAATGATAATTATGTGTTGAAGGGAATATGTATACTTTTCTGAAATAACAGATGAAGAGAAGTGCACACAAGTCATGTCTAAAATGAAATTCATGATTGGACCGTATTAACGCCATGTGTCTATGATAAGGGGTCGGATTTGAGCCTTCAGTTATTGTGAATCAGGAGTGTATGTAGTTTAGAATGAACAATTACTTGTGGTCTTGAAAATTATGTGTTTGTGTTGTGGTATATTTCTTCTACAGCTACACAACTTAGCTGCCACATAGACAAAATGTAGACCTAAAAAGACTATACGCACACACGTACAGACAATTATGTCATTCACAGACATATAAATTGCATACGTAGACAAACACTACATAATTAAATAAAAACATATGTAAAAGTTCACAACATAACAAAAAAGGTTTCATTTATACTTGACAACCTAACATAACCCAATGTACAACATTGCACAACTACATATCCTCATTTACTTGAATGTCACATTTGTAAGGTTTGCAACATATTCAAAAACAAAAAAAAATCTCATCCAATTATTGAACATTGTACAACATTAACATCAACGGTTGTACAATATTCCACACATTTTGTAGACAGACATCCATAGTGTTTGCAACTGCATTAAACAACCCATAAAAACATTCCCACATTTCAAAGGAATTCATGTGCTTCTCCCACCCTCTTCAATCGCTACAAACGAACATCGTATTAACATCTCTTGTTCCACATGTTTGCATATTCACACTCTGGAACCAAGAGCTTTCCCATTAACAGGTGCTCTGCAAAGGTGCTCCTGTAGACACACAAGTATAACCAAGACAGATATTTACGACACTTATACAGACAATTTATGTATTGTAATAAAGGTTGAATTGAATACCCTACAGACAACTCAGAAGGCTTGCCAGACAACTAATTTCACATGACGGACAACTACAAACCTAGTTTCAACAGTTCAAAATGAAGTGACAAACAACCCAAATGGCTTGCCAGACAACTAATTTCACATGACAGACAACTACAAACCTAGTTTCAACAATTCAAAATGAAGTGACAGAAAACTCAAATGGCTTGCCAGACAACTAGTTTCACATGACAGACAACTACAAACCTAGTTTCAACAGTTCAAAATGAAATGACAGACAACTAATTTCACATGACAAACAACTACAAACAAATTTTAAACTACCAAGCCATTACCACAAACAATACATAATGACAACTCAAACCACATCAATGACAAGTACAAAACAAATACATGCACCACACATTTATGAAGTCATTACTGACAGCTCAAACGAAATACAAACATGTAACAATAGCTTACTAAACATCTAAAACCTAATTACAAACCTAAAAAAATTCATAATAATCACATAAAATATTCAATAAAAAATTACTATATCATATTGAATTGGAAATCCATAAAAATCCTCATTAAACACTGAGGTATAAAAAATGGAAAAGAAGTCTTGAATTTCAACAACAAAAATCATTGAGTAATTTCTACAAACATGTTATGGGCATAAAATGAACTAGAGAAATTACACTAAAATTTTAATTTTAATTAATTAACACCTCAAAATCATTACAACGAAACAAACTAATCAATTATTCAATGTTATATCATACATAATATACATAAAATCAAAAAAGGAGAAATAAAAAAATAAAAACGTACATGAAGAAAAATTGGAAATAGAGTGCGTACCTCATTATTTGAGAAGGGATGGTTACCTTAGAGACAACTAAATGGGGAGGTCTTGAGAACTTCAAAAATGGAGATTATAGAGCTCTTAAAATGGAAAGAGGAGAAAATAATGGGAATTGGGGATGGAAGAATAGAAAGGGACGGCCAAGAGAAAGAAATGGGGATGTGGGAAGAGATATGTTTGGAGGGGGTAACAAAAGGTAAAAATGGGAAGGATTTTATATGGGGTACTAATGGGGTGACTATAGCATTTTTGAATCATTTTACCCCAATTAGGGGTGGGTTCGGTTCTTGCGGTTCGGTTTTGACCTAAAACCAAATGTAGAATCAAAGTAAAAAGTTCGGTTCAGTTTCGGTTCGGTTTTACACTTCAAAACTTGGAACCACAGTTTGATTGGTTCGGTTTGTTTCGGTTCGGTTTTGGTTTTTTCGGTTTTTTTTACCAAAACTTTTTCAATTGATTTAAAATTGATATAATACTTAGATAGATCAAACATATTACATAAAGAATTCAAGTATAATACAACGACAAATAAAATAAAAACGAGGAGAGATACATATGTCTTGAATTATATGAGTATGCGAGATAGATAAAACTGTATATATTATTGATTTAATTTGTTTGTGAGTAGTTTGGAAATTTTTCATGAATATATATGTTCTATGTGATTATATGAGTATGCGAGATATATAAAACTGTATATATTATTGATTTAATTTGTGTTAGGAATAAATGTAATTAGATTTTGATGATGCTAGGATAATTATATTAGAATTTTAAAGTACCCCAATTAGATTTTATGTATTAGAATTTTCAGTTGTAAGTATTAGTGTAGTCTACGATCAGAGTTGCTCTCTTATGAATCTGATCAGAGCTGCTCTATGAGAACTGCTTTCAGAGTCGCTCTCGGAAGTCATGAGAGTTGCTCTTCAGAGACTCATCAGAAGTCTACATCAGAAAGCCATCAGAGTTCAATAAAAATGTTCATCAGAAATCAACTCCAGAGAAGTATCAGAGTTTCTCGTCTGAGTTCATCAGAACCCCAGATGAGAATGCCATCAGAGAAGCTCATCAGACTCCGACTTACACTTGGAAGATTTCGAAGCTGTCCTCAACGGCTGGGAAATCCATTAACGGCTAAAAGATATTTCATCCAAGGAAAGCATTTAATGCTCATTTAATGAGCCTGATACGCCGTGGATTGATTGCAAATGATTGACCGAGAAATCTGGAAGATATATTATAAAAATAGAAAGCTTCCAAATTAGTGGGTCAAGTCAACAGTACGCGCATTTAATGCAGTTGTCTCCTCCTCCAACGGGCAGACAACCCCAATATATAAACTACACGCTGAAGAACAGGAAGATAACTTTGCTCCCCTTAACCTACAAAAAGCTCTCTTGAGATTCAAACTCTACAATCCTCAACAAGACAAGCTTACGTTGGGAAGATTAAAATATCCAAATCCTCCAATCCCAACACACAGCAAAGTTCATACTATTCTTCAACCTTCAAGGACTTCAACTACATATCTTTTGTAACGAAGCAAGTTGGAGAAAACTCTGTTCTCAAAACAGCTTCTGCAAAGAAGGACGTCCAAGTAACTGCAGTAGTGAAGTGGTGATACTTCCGGGAAGCTGAGTGAAAGGACCAGTCATCAGGAAGCGGAACTGCATCCCGGGTGACAACTAGGCTTGAAGAAGACGTGGAGAGCTTCTTAAGTACTAGGGGACTAAGCTTTGTAACTGTTTATCTCAAAGCTAGTGGAACAGTGGACTAGAGGAACGCCTTGTTCCTTGAACCACTATAAAAACCCCGGTGTCATTTACTTTACTGCACTTTAATTTCTGCATTTAGGACTAAACTGTTTAACTCTAAGACTTGGAATCTGTGATCAGCAGATCTCGTCTTCAGAGTTATCAGAAAGGCATTTGCCTTAGTATTCTTGAGGCTACCCGGAACTCTTATCCGCTGCAAGACCAGTTTTGATCATCAGAACTCGACCCTCTCTGATAAGTCAACTCTGACTTGGAGAAAAGTTGAAAAACTTGAATCAGTCTATTCACCCCCCCCCCTCTAGACTGATTACCAACTCTAACGGGACCAACAATTTGTTTGTGAGTAGTTTGAAAATTTTTCATGAATATATATGTTCTATGTGATATAGTTGAGATTAATATTTATTGTTTTATCAATATAAAATCTTTAAGTTATCTAAACATGAAAGTTAATACTACTAATAACTAGTAAACACATATGATCATCATTCAATATAGCTATTATTACACACAATGAATGTGTAAATGAATTTATAAACTAAATTTAAATGAAACATAACGCAAACATTATCTCTCTAACACAAGAAAACCAAAGACTATTGATGATATTAAGATTAATTAGAATTAATGCTTAACAATTAACATATAAATTCCATATTTTAAATAGTTCGGTATGTTCGGTTCGGTTCGGTTTTGAAGGGTAAAAACCAAAACCGAACCGAACAACTTCGGTTCGGTTCGGTTTTTTACATTCGGTTTCAGTTTCTTAGCGGTTCGATTTTATTTGGTTGCGGTTCGGTTTTTCGGACCCAGCCCTAACCCCAATTGGTTTATGGTTGTTATATTTTGGTGAAATCAGAGATGTACCCCTAACAAACAGCGTTAGGTGAGGCATGCAGTCTGGAATGACCCGACCGGAGTTAATCCGGTTTCACCCAGGTAATGGCAGTAGGATGAAGAAGCTCGGTGGGAGAAAGCAGGTCGCAATCTTGATTGGGTTGGGAATGAGTATGACGATTGGTTTAGTTGTGTACTTGAGGCTTTGGACTATCGACTATCGCATCTCTTCCGACGAGACCGAACTAATCAGGTACCACCCTTCCATTGTTCATCACTATATCTTGCTTGTCCTACCATTTCTGTGATTTTGGGTCAGCAACTTAAAACAGTTCAGGTTGCTTCAGATGGCGTGTGTGTGGATAAGGATTTCCTACAAAAGAGTGAAATTTGATTTTTGTACCCCTAGTATTTCTTCTCCCAATTTTCAAAAATGTTTTACAATATTCATATGGAGCCACCAATTATCATAGGAATTTGCTGGATTTTGATTCGACCATGATCTATCATTGTAGAAAACACCTTGAAGTACTGAATTAGTGTTGGTTGGGGGAAAATAGGCATTTGTGTTGTCTGATCATGCACTCATGTTATATTGAAAATAGGAGACAGTTTGATCTTGCTAATAGAGAAGCAATGGATGAATCTGCATACTGGAGAGGTAGATATGATGCAGAGGTGGAGAAGGTCAACAGCTGCCAAAAGGAGCTACTTCAAGTAGGTGCTTGTATTACTGGTCGACAGCTTCAACTATATTCTATTGTATATAGTATATTGTTATAATGCATAATGCAGTAACAATTGAAAAGGATTTTGCAGAATAAGAAACGAGATTGAAAAGGGGTGTTGGTAACCATTGTCGTATGCCGAAGGTGGCATTTAGTTCATGGAATGTAAATTGTCTTAAATAATAGGATTACTTCTTTCTTTGAAGGTGATATGTCTAATAATGTGAGATTACGAAATGTAAGATTTTCATGAGGCCACTCCCTCCATTAAAGAGTGATTTTTGGTGAACCTGCATGATAAGAAATTCAGTCAACATATATTCGTCCACCTACATGATAATAGTAAAAAGCTAGTTAAGCTACTAGTACAAGGTAAGGTAAAACTGTTAAAATTTATGAAACCGTGAGGGAGTGTTACTCATGTTTGCTAGAGACGAAGCTGGAATGATCCAAAACAGCCCCAACATTACCTCATATTCTTGCGCGGAAGGGAATTCTGAGCGGGGGCAATCTCTGATTACCTTCACAAATGTTCATGCAAAAGTCTGAACCAAACAAGGTTATCTCATGATACCCATACATAGTGAGATTACCTAAACAAAACTTGAACTATCCCAACTAAAATGAGGTGTACTTTGTTCCTAAGCTCCCTCAAAATATGGATATGGGAAAGGGGATAATCTAGGACACAATTCCTCTGTATTTAAGGAGCTGGGTTCAAACTATGGACCTCCTCGACACAACTCGCACGAGGGGAGAAATTCCATTAGCTGCCCTAGGTTTGCCCTTGACCCTATATCCAACTAGCACTTCTTTTTATTCCAAGTGTTATGTCTCAAACAATCAAACTATCAACTCACTTATACCCATTGCCATGTGTGGTACATAGGTTAAGTGGTCATCTAGTTCAAATGGTGATGGCAAGAATAGCAAATCGGATTCACTACAAAAGGTAACTGAATAATATAATGCATTTGAGATCAATTTCATATTTTTAGTTGATGCATTTGTTTATTAATACAAGCCCTTTTGGGTCTCCCAAACAGTCGAACTTCAAAACTAGGATCTACTCATGATTTTCAACACAATTCCAATTGATTCTTTTGTTTGCCTAATACCAGGAAAACAAGGACTTGCTTGAAAAGATTGGATATTTGAAACAAGAGCTTGGATGTGAAAAGTTAAATTGCAGCATGAAAAAACCATGAGCTTACTATTGAGGGAGAAAACCTTATCTATTGTTAGCTATGCAACAAGAAACAGGTTAACAGGTTAAACGAATAAATAAATAAATAAGTAAATAAGTAAATAAATAAATAAATAAATAAATAAATAAAGACAAATAAATAAATAAATAAATAAATAAATAACTAGGACATTGAATTTATACTAGTTTATCATTTTATATCCTTTATTGGGAAGAATATCAAATTGAAAATAGATTTTTAAAAGTGCGGATTAACCCTTTTGAGTTACCCTCCTTTCTTCTCCAAATCTCCCTTCCCAGGGAGTGGGTTGTTGCTTGTGGGGACACTTTATCTAGAGTGAGCTGCTTGAGGACTTTACTTATTTTGCCCCCCCCCCCCCCCCCCCCCCAGCATTTTGACAGGGCTGAGAATGAGCATATTATGTTTGCAGGAGTTTACTTATTTTGCTTCCCCATTGACGCTGACTTAGCAATCATTTTCCATGTCACTTTATTGTCTAACTTGATCAACATCATGCGCCGGTAATTTATTTTTACACCTAATTAGTTTAAGTCTCTCTATTCCACTTAGGGGGAGTTAGGGGTAGGCATGGTTCGTGTTTTTAACGGTTATTTAATCAAAACGAGAAGTAAGAAGCTGTTCTGTTCGTCTTATCCTTATTACTTATTGCTTATTCTTATTTTATTCAGATCACATCACATCAGAAAAATTTAAGATCAGATTAGATGAGAAAGATTCATATCAGATCGGATCAGAAACATTCAGATCAGATCAGAAGCATTCAGATCAGATCAGAAAATTTCAAACATGATTTATCACTTTTATTATTATAAAATTATTATTATTATTATTATTATTATTATTATTATTATTATTATTATTATTATTATTATTATTATTATTATTATTATTATTATTATTACTACTACTACTACTACTACTACTACTACTCCATATTATTATAAATATTATTGTTATTATTGTTGTTGTTGTTATTATTATTATTACTCCATATTATTATAAATATTATTTTTATTATTATTGTTATTAGTTTAGGGAAAACTATCAAATAAGCCCCCGTACTATATTGAAAAAGTCGATTAGGCCCTCGTACTTTACAAACACTCAATTAAGTCCTCGAACTATTAAAAAATGTTCAATTAAGCCCTTTCGGTCGGTAAGTAACCGGTTTCCTGGTTAAATGTAACCCGTTTTCCGGCAGCCGCCGTTGCTGGGGTTCGAGCACATCGTCGCCGTCGTCGCCGTTTAATCGGGAAACCGGTTACTTACCAACCAAAAGGGTTTAATTGAACGTTTTTTAATAGTTCGAGGACTTAATTGAGTGTTTGTAAAGTACGAGGGCCTAATCGACTTTTTCGGCATAGTACAGGGGCTTATTTGATAGTTTTCCCATTAGTTTATTATTATTATTATTATTATTATTATTATTATTTACTTTTATTATTATACAGAGGGAAAACTGTCAAATAGGTCCTCGAACTTTCATAAAAAGGTCAATTAAGTCCTTCTATAGGAGGTTCTGTCTGGCCGTATCGATTTGGGGCAATTCCCAGTGGAATTTTTTGATGAATTTTTTGAGCATCTTATTCACCAAGTCTAGTTTACTCATACCAAATTTCAGCTAAAAATTCAACTGGGAACACATTCAAATTAATTCTTTAAGATAACTGCGCATTTTTGCGTTCTCGAATTAATTTGAATGCGCTCCCGATTAAATTTTTAGCTGAAATTTGGTATGAGTAAACTAGACTTTTGATGAATAAGATGCTAAAAATATTCATCAAAAAATTCCACCGGGAACCGCCCCAAATGCTATAGAAGGACTTAATTGACTTTTTTATGAAAGTTCGAGGACCTATTTGACAGTTTTCCCTTATACAGAGGAATTATAATTATAATTACAATTATAATTATTGTTATTATTATTATTATTATTATTATTATTATTATTATTATTTATTTTTATTATTATATAGAGGAATTATATTATTATAATTATAGCTATAATTATAATTAGTGTAGTAGGCATAATTTTTTTATAACTTTAATTATAATTATGATTATAATTATAATTTTTTAGAATTATGACTATGATTATAAATTATATTAATAATTACAATTATAATTATAATAATTAAAGAAATATTCAGATCGGATCGGAAGGATTCAGATCAGACCAGATCAGAAAGATTCGGATCAGATCAGAACTTAATAAATTCAGATCAGAAACATTTAGATCAGACGAAGAGAACAATTTCTAAATTGGCGATTATGGACGATTTTGGTTCCAAACAACTACAAGTTTAATTTTGTTTGTGTTATCGAACATCAATTAGATTTGCATTGCTGCGTGGCGTATAGTGCTAGGCGGTGAAGTAATGTTACACATACTTCAAAAAACCATTTGAGTAATGAGATAATGAGGCAAAATGTGGAAGAACATCAATGATAAGATGCGAGAGTCTCGATTGCGGTGTTTTGAGCATCTATTAGTAATGTATCTGTTAGATGAATTGAGAGGTGGGGAAGAAAGGAGATGAGACGAAGAGGACGACCGAAATAGATATGGATTAAAATGATTGGGAATGATATTATACCCGTTGAGTGAGATAAGATTATGATTTGGAGAGAAGGAATTGGAGGAAGATTATACTACGTATTATATGAGTGGATGATTGATTTGTTTATTTTGTTTATGTGCCTTTTCTCTTTTTATCCTTTTTAACTCCGATTTTATTTATCGATTCATGGTTGCCAATCCCAAATTCTTTTGAGAGTTGGGACTAAGGTTTAAATGTTGTTTTTTGTTGGGGATAGCCAGTGTTGGACTCGGGTCGGACCTAGGCCCGGTCGGGCTTTTGATGTTTGGGGTGAAGGCCCGGATTACCACTGGATCCGGGACGGGCTGGGTCCATGTTAATTTTTTTTCCTTTTCTAATTAACCCTCCACCCCCAAACCCCCCCCCCCCCCCCCCCAAAGCACCTAGCCCAACTCAGGAAAAAGCCCAAAAAAACAAAAAAAAAACAAAAAAAAAAAAGACCTGAATCGGGCCCGGGACAGGTCTGGCCGGTTCCAAAGAGTGGGCTGAACCAAACTGCCCCACCCTAACCCCCGGGACCGGGCCTAGAGCCGGAACCATAACCGGTTCACTGGGCCGGACCAGGCCCACACAATAGTGGGCCGGGCCAGTTTCTGGGCCGGGCGGCCCGACCCGAGTCCAAGACTAATGATCTATTGCAAACAAAAATGGGCAAGGGGGGCCTATCCAATGTCTTTAACATTTTGACCGTTGTAAGGGGGTGGCGGTTGTTGTCTTTGATAATATAAGTAGACTTTTTATGAATAGTGTGCATGTGATATTTTGAATTAGGGTTGGATTCGGGCTGGGTCAAGCCTAGGCCCAGCGGACTTTCTAGGATTTGGGATCCGGGCCGGGTCGGGCCTAGGCCCAGCAGGCTTTCTAGGATTTGGGATCCGGGCAAGGCCTCTATATATATGTATATTTTTTTTTGCTTTTTCTAATTAATTCTCGACCCCCTCTAACCCCTACCCCAGCAAACCAGCCCAAATGGCCCAAAATACCCAGCTATGGCTAGACTCGGGTCCAGTTCGGGCCTGGGCCCGGCCGGGTCTCGGGCCAGAAAACTGGGGCCCTAGCCCGAACCGCCGGTGGCCGGTTCTGGTTCCGGGCCAAACCGGTCATTTTTTTTTTGGTTCTCCTATTTAACCCCCTACAGCTTCCCCTCAACCCCAAACCACCTCAAATGGCCCAAAATACGTAATCCAACCCAAAACTTAAAAAAAATTCAAAAAAATAAATAAATAAAATCCGGCCAGGACCGGGCCCGAACCGGCCCGCCTAAAGCAGGGCCCGAGCCCGAACCGCCCATCACCCGGGCCGGGCCAAACCGAACCGCTGAACCCACCGGGCCCCGGGCCGGACAAACAGTAACCGGGCCGGTTCCGGGTCGGGCCGCCCAGCCCGAGTCCACCCCTAGGGTTGGACCGGTTCCGGTTCGGGCCCGGTTCGGGCCTGGGCCCGGCCGGGCCTCGGTTCAGAAAAAGGAGGCCCGAGCCCGAACCGGTGGTGGGCGGTTCCGGGCCAGAACCGGGCCGGGCCGGGCCACCCGGAATGTTTTTTTTTTTTCTTCTTCTCTTATTTAACCCCCTACCCCTCCCCCTCCACCCCAAACCACCCCAAACCACCTCAAATGGCCCAAAATACCTAATCCAACCCAAAACTTAAAAAAATTTCAAAAAAAAAAAAAATTAAATTCCGGCCCGAACCGGGCCCGGCCCGGCCGGGCCGGTTCACTAAACTGGAGGCCTGGGCCCGGACCGGTATACCACCGGGCCTGGAGGCCCGAATCGGAACAGAACCGGTTGACCGGGCCGGTCCGGTTCCGGGCCGGTTGGCCCGGCCCGAGTCCATCCCTATCCACCCCTATACCCAGCCCAACCCGGAAAGTTAAAAAAAATTAAAATAGAAAAAGAAAAATTGAATTAAGCCCGATCTGGCCCAGAACCGGCCGGGCCGGTTCCATTTTCCCCATTACCCTACCTAAACCGGCCGTACCCGGCCCACTACCCTACCTAAACCGGGCCAGGCCCGCACAGTACCGGGCCGGGTTGCCTGAACCGGGTCCATCACTATTTTGAATTTAGCCACATTGGGTCAGGTAAAGGAACATGTTATTAGTCGCATTAAACTAACCATGGAAAGACGTACGCGACTTAGAATTGAACCAAACAGAAGGTTTCAATTTTTTTACATTGGAACACAGACTCTGACTTTCACGCCTTATTCTCTTCGCAAAAGAAAAACTCAGATCACAGGCTCGATTGGGCTTTCACACTAGATCACATATTTTTTAGTACACAACTCCAGTCTTATTGGAAAACGAGAAGCAGCAGTATTTCAGAGGAATTCTAGAGTGAACACATATTGAAAACCACAGTAACATTAAACTTCTTGGGCTTGTAAAGTTAGGTGATGAATAAAACAAGCTATCCAAAACAACCAGGGCATCATCAACCTTGCCTCTTCATCGCTTTTCCTCCAAAATGATGCTGAAATCAAGCAAAAAAATCAGGGACATCATATTCAAATATGTTATCTTCTTTTTTGCATTCAAATAACATAGAGATTCAATCATATGAGTGTTCTTCTAAGCTACCCTAAGACACTTTTTTACTTCTAATACTCATCTAACAATTAACTCATCTAACAATTAAGACTTTCATTATAAAAAGTCAAATTAAACTTCTAAGGACTTCACTTTTCGAATGATCCAACGATTGAAACTAACATTTAATGCTAATGACTAAACAACTTGGACCATCAACATCAATTTTTAGCTCAAAATTAAATTGGAATGACAAGATTCCCATCAATGTGGACTAATGAGATCATTTCTCTCTCCATATATAAGTAATACTTTGGGATCAAATGAAAATTTATTCAGAGAAATGGGAAAGAATCCGGTGCGTTAAATTTGGGAATTCTACATTATGTTAAGCAAAAATGTGCACTACCAAACATCAGAAAATGCGATGGCATTGTGTCAATAAATTCAACATTTTTTCTATTTGAAATGTGCATGGTTTTATCCATAGCTGTGCACCTCCATTAACCATAAAATGAATTGTTTTGGGTTGTTCTTGTTTCTCGCGGGAAAAAGTGTTCTCACCACAACAAAAGAAATGTGAACACGCGCATTATGGTCCGGTTCAAGTCAGAACACTTCTTCCCATGATAAATGAAAACAAAATGATGCACATTACAGTTCGTGACAGTGCACCATTTATGATTAGAATAATGCACAATTCAAATGGACAAAAAAATTCACATTATAGTTCGTTGCAGTGCACATTTATGAATTGATTTACAAAAAAAACCAACACATTTTCACCCGAAATGATGCACATTATGTTTCCTAGTGTTGCACATTT